ATTTATATATATATATATATATATATATATATATATATATATATGTTATATTTTAGTTTATTTGATTTTTTTAATGTGTATTTCAGTTTATAAAATTAATTATTATATGTATTTTCAGTTTATAAAATTAATTATTTTTTTATTACGCTTCACTTTAATTAAGCGTGCGCTTCGCTTTTGAAGCAAGGCGAGCCCTTGTCGCTTTTTTGCGCTTCTCGCTCTTAAAAACACTGCATTCACCAAAAGGTGCAAGTAGCACGTATTGAGGATTAAATGAGAGAACAACGCTTGAGATGGTTTGGTCATGTCCCACGCCGACCTACAGATGCACTGGTCCATAGGTGTAAAGCTAAAATGAGGAAAAGTGTTAAACAAGGATGGGGTAGACATAAAATCCCATGGAAACGAAATTGGCTCGAAATATGTACAAATCTTTGGAGTCAATGTAGACTTAGCTAAAGATATGACATAATAAAAGAAAAAGATCCATACTGGTGATATCTACTAGTCAGGAATAGGATTTAGACTTGTTAGAGAACTTCTATTATTGTTATTATATAGCTTATTTTTCACTTTTACTTCATTTGGTATGATGATGATATCAGTTGAGTTTAAACGAAGAACTGAGGATTCATAGAACTGACCTCAACTTGTTTTGGACTGGGGAATAGTTGTTGTTGTTGTTGTTGTTGGATTGTGTTCGATATTCTATAAAAAGAATTACCAAACCAATTGAAATATGAATTTACTTCTATACAACAACAACGACAACATACCCAGTATTATCCGATCTGGGGAGGGTAGTGTGTACGCATACCTTACCCCTACCTTGTGAGGATCTAAGTAAACTATTTTCGAGGCCCAATTTCGGGAGGCCTAGTTAAGTCGAAACAGAAATGAAATAGCCGAACCATAACGAGAAAATCCAAACCTAACCATATTTATTTCAGTTCAGTTTCACCAAAAACTGAGAACTGAAACGAAATTTGATAAAAAAGCAAACTGAAAGATGAACACTCCTACCAGCACTCCTCCTCTCTCTAACAACCAGCGCTCTCGTTTCTCTGCTTAAGGCGCAATGTCTCTCTTCTTCCTGCGTCCCACTGCTCTTTTTTCCAGTTGAACTTTCCATATATAAAAAAGAAAAGAATAGAAAGAGATGGAATAGAAGAGCATTTGTTATGCCAATGACACCAACGGGATATTAAATGAATGGAATTGGGATAAGGTCCAATGGATGGAATATAATGAATCATCTTTTTTGCAGCGTGCATCTCTCTGACCATTATCCCAATAGCAGTTTTCCTACAAGATTTCAGTGGCAGTTTTCTATGTTCATAATAAGCAAACTCAAGTTTGTTTCACCACTTTGAGTTTGAACTGGCATGTTGAATGTTAAGATAGTATATGCCTAGATTCACATATGTCATGATTCACCGTACATGAATAAGAAAAATACTATGGAATACTATATAGATACCTTAAGACATTACTTACTTAACTATTGAATACTTACTTACCTTATTAGACAAGCTGAGAAATATCACATCCAACAGAATGTGCAAATAGCACACATAGAGGATAAAAAGAGAGAAAGACACTTGAAGTCTTTCAATTATCTCCTCTGTAGACCTCCAAATGCATTGATCCGCAAGTGTGAAAGCATGAACCTATTAAAAAGGAATGATATAGATCTAAAATCACATGAAAAAACTCTGAAAAACCTACATTTTCTTGGAATCTATGCAAAAGTAGGGCAAATAAGACATAATACAAGCAAAAGACCAACATAGGTGACACCTACTTGATATAATAGAAGCAAAACATCTACATAGGTGACAGCTACTTGTCAAGTACTGTGAGGAGTCTTCTTAATCTGGTTAGAGATATCTGTGTCAATACAAAATGTAGAGAATATCTAGTGATAAAAAACCCTTCACTCAATATTGGAATAACCCGGACCAAATAGAGCGAAATGAACAGTGGTATTCATATGCTGATCCCAATCAGTTTGGGTGGCAGGCATAAATCTAGATTTTACCTACCATATTGTAGGTAACCTAAGATTCTTATATAAAGGGTAACCTAAGATTCTTATCCATAACTTCACCTAAATGAGCTTCTGTATAGGTGTCTTCTCACTTCTCAGGTCCGGATAAAGGAGAAAGATTCTACATCTCAGCTTCAGCATAAAATTATCAAATTATGATGAATTCTTAAGAAATGTGTGAGATTTAGGGAGCATCTAGTTCTAGAAAAGATAAATTATTGAGTATTGGAATGAAACTACTACAAATAAAGCAGAATGAATACAGAGGAGTGTACAGCTGATCCCAACTAGTTTAGGATTAGAGCATAAAGTCTTGGTATATATTGTCTATACCCATATAAAGCAACAGAATGGAAGCCTTCATCTCCATTACCAAAGAGCAAGTTCAGACTGGGGCTTGTTTAGAAGAAGTGAGGATGACAGAGAAGCTGATCCTCTAGCTAACAGTGCATTCTGAGTACTGTTCTGAACATGCTCACCAAGAACAGCATAAATAAACGGGAAAAATGAAAGAAAAATATGAGGACTTCACTTGTAGAACCAAAAAAAGGAACCAAAGTGAATTGTCATGAGAATAAACGTACTGTTACCTACCCAAAGAGGACTGAATCAAACACTTAAGCTCTCCATCAAACAAGCTGCAGCATCAAAGGCATGGATGAAGTTCAAGCAACTCACAACCTAATGCACAAAACAATAAACCCACACATCTGAGGGAGATTATCAAGCTGAAAATTAATCATAACTAAGCACTAATGAGGCATGGTAAGAGCGCCTACACCATTGCATGCTCTCTTATTGAAAGCCATTGGATTTCTCGTCAGGGCATGCTGCAACTTTGACTTGAATTTGATCTAAGACAAGCTTAAATACACATGCAAAAAAACAAACAAACACAATTCATCCTGCATAACAATGACTCCAAAATTGGTCGAAAGGAAGATAGGTGGCATACCCAAACCAAGCTTTCTGTAACTGACCTCTTTTAAAGGTTCTCTTTTTTACTGTCAATGACACATGATGCCAAATTTTGCCTTGAAGTCTGCATTTTAATGTAAACAGTGAGAGAATATTGTTGGAAGTTACTAATACAGTTGCTATACGGCAATCTGAAGCTTCCTCAGTTATGAGGCCAGAGTGCTGCTCAGAAGCTGCTTAGTCCATCCTTCTAATAACTCTCTCGCTATGTTTTTCTATCTTTCTGGCTACTTCAATCTTGCTTATATCCATCCTCTTCTCTTGCCAAAATCACAAATTCCAGTAACTTCTTCTGTGCAGTTTCATTTTCCTTATCGTTTCTTTTCAGTTTTAGAAAAGAAACACGCAGGAAAGCTACTGAATCATGTAATAACTGCTGGATATAAAGATGAATAAGGAAAAGAAAAACTAAGAAACATCCTAAAACAGAATGTTATTAGCTAGCAATGTTTACCACTGCGGTATCATAGATAGATGGGGGGCAAAAGACACCATAAAGGAAAGCACGACAACTAATGATCAAAGAAAAAACTAGTGAAGAGAAGCTTATTTTCTTTTGCCTCTGTAATGGATAGAAAAGTTACCAATTTCAGTGCAGTCCACATGTTACATAAGGTCGAGGTAGAGGGGCATTATGTGATTCAATTGAAAAATACATAACAAGTGAAGTGCGACCACCCTTCTCTTCTTGTTTATCTCATGTGCATAGATGGCTTGATTGGCTTCCGCAAAATAAACTTATTAGTTATTTGTATAAGTTATAAGAAGATCCTCTCCATATTATGCCCAGCAGTCAATGATCCTCTTTCCAGGAAAGAAGAGAAAGTTTTTCCAATTAAATTTTTTGAGCTCCCTATTCAGTAATATTCTGAATGATAAACAACAATGACGCAAAACTACTTTATTCCAATGCTACTTTACATTTAAAAAGCAACTTCCCTTTCCTTAAGTTGGACTTGTTCGGCTGGAAGTTGGCCATCTTAAGCAGACACTGAACCGATATCCCCTTCTAGAAAGACTTTGATGCTATAAATTTGCCCATTTTAGCACCTAAAGTACACTCTCCACATACAGAAATTTGCATATGTAGCTATAAAATCAAGTGGAGTAACATTGCAAGACATAAATGCACACACAGAGTAAAGCAACAATCGCAATACCATTGCAGTTAAATTACTGTACAAGAAGTAACATAACATAGTAACTAACTAGTCATAATAAATGAGGGCGGGAACTGGGAAAAAGCTTAATCGGAAATTACATAGTAGTATTAATAGCAAAATCAACTGATGTAAAAAAGAGAAAATAATCAGAGCAATTATTAATGTTTATACAAACTGAGAGGAGAGAATTACCTTCCGTGGCATGATCGGAGAAATTGAAGAGAGTGAAAGAGAGGAAGAGAGGGAAAGAAATTATATCGTCCGCGAAAGGGATGCTCTTCCCATTTATTTTCAGTGAAGTTTTTACTTTTACCCCAACATTAGTTCTTGCGGTGCCCTTAACCCCCTTAAATTGCTAGCTGTCTCTCCTTTTCCCCCCTTAAGAATAAGGTGTGCATCCAATTTTTCTTTTTCTTTTTTTCTTTTTTGAGGATAAAAGGTACTTATTTATTAATAATAACTAGGGTACAGGACCCACTAAACTATTGTCACTACACATGCCTCGATGGGCTATAGTTATGCCTTCTAAGGCATTGTCATTACCTCATGCAGCCATATTACAACACATAGAAGTTGAACATTTTCTTATACAGACAAACCCATCATGATCTTTGTGATAGGCATCTATTACAAATTCAGGCGGTAAAACAAAGGTACATAACATTATAGCTAGTTTGCATAAGAGCTGCTTTTGCCAAAAGATGTGTTGTCATGTTCCCTTCGTGAAGGATATGCTTCAATGTGATCTCCCCTAGTAGCAGTGCCTTCTCCATTAACCACCTGCATTCATAGATCAAATCATTGTAAGTTGGATAATCATTGTGAAGAAATCGTATGACCTCCGTGGCATCTGTCTCTACTTCAACTGGGAAGATTTTTTCCCTGATTGTTAGTTGAAGTGCATGTCGTAATGCTTGTAATTCCGTTTGGATTGGCGTTGTTGCATGGACCTTTTTGAATTAGCCCATTCTCCATAGGCCTTTGTTGTTACGTATGGCTTCGTTGATTCCCCTTGTAGACAACTGCTCCTAAAGGCACCATCAATGTTGATCTTATACCAGTGTGCATCCAATTTTTCGGTTTGTTTTGCATTGTTCCTTTTTGATTTTTCGTTTTTAAGGTTTTGAAAAGATGTCTTCTAATCTGAACTAAAATAAATTTAGTTAGATTAAGTTTGTTTCTTTCCGGTTTAGTTTTTTTCAGTTTGATTTTTCGATTATTTAGTTGTATCGTATAAGATAATAGGAATCCAAATTAGTCTAATAGTTATAGTTATATATATGAATAACGAAAAAAAATGACGAAAAAAAGAATAATTATGGTGCTGAATGGAAAGTTGTAATATCAAACTCTTTAATATGTTTTCTAAATTCAATTCACATGGTTAAAATAATCGATACTATTGATAAGATAGTAAAGCATATTTGATTGAGATAGACAAACACTACTAGTCTCTTATAGCTAAGAAGCTAATAAGTTTGTACGTCTAATATCACAATTAAAGTAGTAGGCATTATTTAATACTATCTGATTCCTTTACTAACCATATACCAATAATCAAATATTTTTTTATGAAAATAATATGTATATATACTATATATTATGTAATTTAATTTTTCAGTTTTTGTTTTTAAATTTCTAAAATACAAATTAACCAAATTTAGGCATGACATCTAGTGGTGGGTGTTCGGGTAGTTCAGATTGGATATGAAAATTTTGGTTTAAATTTTTTTATTTTCGGATTGAAGAAATTATAATCCAACTCTAATCAAAATAAGTTCGGATTGGATTGGATTTTTTAAGTTCGATTTTGAATTTTGGGTTCGAGCCTATAAGTTGAGCTTCTTCTTTGTCTTACAATAAATGGACATTCAAATAAAGTATTCATGCCAGATTTTCATATTAGTTTCTCATTCCCGCTACAATCATCCAAATAAAGTATTCATGCAAATAATAAAATTATTACCAAGAAAATACAATATACGTATTAACAATTAACAATTCAAACATACTAAAACCACTTTCACATAGAAAGTGTCATGACATATCATTTAGTAAATGTATTAGGTGTATGGAAAATGTCCCGTGAGTAGGGTGTTGGACTTATAGTGTAACGATCCGGTCAGTTATTTTGTGTATTTTAGCGTTGTTCCTTATTTGATATTCCCTATATGTGTATTTGATGTTTGGTGACTAGCGGGGATGGTCGCGTTGGTTTTAGAAAGGTTTGAGATTGATTGGAACACTTAGTTTTATTTTTGGAAGCTTAAGTTTGTAAGAATTGATCAAGGTTTGTCTCTTATGTGAACGACCTCGGATTGGTGATTTGATAGTTCCAATAGGTTCATATGGTGATTTTGGACTTAGGCATATGTTCAAATTTGGATTTGGAGTTTTCTATGATGTTTGGGCTCTATGTACCAAAAGTTACAATTTGAAGGTTTGGAGAGTTCCTAAATTTGATTGGGGGTTGATTTTAATGATACCAGATTCAGATTATTGTTTCAAGATTTGGAATAGGTTCATTTGTCATTCGGGACTTGTGTGCATAGTTAGATTGAAATTCGAAATGTTTAGGCATGGTTAGGACATGTTTGTGGAAGTTAGAAGGTTTGAAACTTAAGAGATTGATCGACGATTTTTGGTTTGATGTTAATTATGGTGTTTTGATCCTTTGGTTAGGTTTGAGTGAGGTATTAGGACTTGTCGGTATGATTATACAGGGTTTCCTAAGGGGTTAAGTGGGGAGTTTTTTATGGGTTCCGGATCATTTTGGAGTTGAGAGGCAGCTTTAGTGCTAGTGTGTTGCACTTGTAAGGCATTATGCGTATGTGCGAGTCCGCAGAAGTAGACTTGTGATCGCAGATGCGGGTAGGTGCTGGGAGCTAGAGGACTGCTTCTGCGAAAGCTTGTGCGCAGAAGCGGAAAGTGGTCGCACCTGCGGGATCGCAGAAGCGGAGATGGGATCAATAGGTGCGAAAGGGATGATATTTAATGAAAGCTCGCAGATGCGAGGTCTTGGACACAAGAGCAGTGTTGCGGATGCAATACTTTTGTCCGCAAATGCGGAAGTCTCTGTGCAAACTAATATTTTGAGGGTTTGGTTCATTTATTATTTGGAGCTTTGGAGCTTGGCTAGAGGCGAGTTTGTGAGGAATTTACCATACTTTAGAGGGTAAGTGATTTCTACTTGATTTTGATGTTAGATCTTGATTCCCCATTGTTTTGTGCACTTATAACATGGATTTGAAGGAGAAAAATTGGGGTTTTGTGCTAGATTTTGGAAAATGGATAATTGAGATTTGAACCCAGTTTGAAGTTGGATTTGTATATAACTTATATGTTTAGACTCATATTCGAATGATTAATCGGGATTTATGATTTTGGTCGGGTTCAGGAAAATAAACTCGAGTTGACTTCTTAGTTGATTTTGTGTAATTGATTAAAGATCAAGCCTTTATGCTTCGTTATTATTTTTTTAGCATTATTTGAAATCGTGGTCTGTTATGTGACTAGATTTGAGCCGTTCGGAGGTCGATTCACGAGGAACACATTTTTGGAGTATTGACTTGGCTCGTTTGAGGTAAGTATCTTACCTAGCATTTGTCTGAGGGACTAGTTGCTTGAATTATTATTGGCTACGTGCTAAGGGTAGCGTACATGCAAGGGGTCGAACGTATGTGCGTGCACAGGGTTTATTTATGTTCGGGATAGTTCTTAGGCTATATTATGCCGTAATTTGGAAATTGTGATTCTTACTATCATACTTATTATGTTTGTATGACTATGTAACCTCGTGAATCATATTAGAGATCATGTATAGGTTCGCTTTTCCTATTTGAACATAATACTCATTGTTGTGTGGCGTAACCGCCTAATTTGAGTTGTAATCGTACATTTTGCACATACATACACTTTAGCATGCTATTTTATCGGCCTAGAAGTATGTGATTTGATATCAATTGACTGTATACATGTATTCTTGTATCTACTTTCTGTGTTATGGACTGATTTGACAGCAAGTAAGTTGTCCCTACAGGTTGAGTTGACTACGACACGTGATTGTCCATGCGCTTCTTATGATTATGGCACGTGAGTTGTCCATGCAGCGTGTGGATAAGGATCCATCCCCTTAGGGTCGTCCTCTCATGTTTCTCCTTGATGACGTACACGTAGTTATGGAAATCTGATCCGTGTTGAGTTTTGTATATCTTTTTTATATGCAAATTCCTTGGATGTATACATGATTTTACTGCATATTTCCTCTATATGTTTTCTCCGAAAACATATACATATATTTTTACACATATCCTCTTTATATGCTGCTCTGGCTGATGAAATGATACACAATACATATCTTCTCTATATGTCTCTCCATGTGTTGACTAACATGCCTGCCATTGCATATCTTCTCTATATATTCTACTTTTATACCTTTATGATGCTATTGCATATCTTCTCTATGTGCACTGTTGGCCTTATCTTTATTCACACGTAGATTGAGGTATTATTATTGTATATTCGTATGTATCCATGAAGTGTACAACTTTATCACGTGGGTATTATTGGTGATTCTATTACCTCTCCGAGGTTAGTCATGATACTTACTGAGTACATGGGGTTGGTTGTACTTATACTGCACTTTATACTTAGTTACAGATTCAGGAGTTAGATCCAAATGAGCATCTTGAGCTAAGTTGTTGTTATGTTGTTGAGACGAGGTAGAGTTGCTTCTTATTCGTAGTTCTTGGTGTCTCTTCCCATCTTCTTTAATGTTGTTGTTGTTGAGACAGTATTTTATGTTATTAGATTTGTACTCATGTTGTAGAGCTCATGATTTAATATTACCAATTTTAGGAGATTTATGTATTGTCGCAATCTTTATTTATAGATATTTGCCTCTCAGACTTGTATATTCAGTAATTTGTTATCATGTCTTATTATTGCTTTATGATTCACTTGCTTATCAAGTGAGTTAGGAGCTATCACGGTCGGTGGTGGTTTTAGGTTGTGATAAGTTGGTATCAAATCCCTAGGTTCATAGGTTCTACGGGTCATGAGTAAGTTTATTAGAGTCTTGCAGATAGGTACGAAGACGTCTGTACTTACCTTTGAAAGGAACGAGATTGTTAGAAAAACTTCTCTTTCTTTCATTTTCTTTCATGCAGATTTATTTATGTTGAATT